TTTACATCCTATTATTCTAGGTAACTGATATATGTGAAAACACTCTCAGTTTCAATTTAGCTAAACCTCTGACTCATATGGAGCAGCTTTTAAATTGTTCTTACAATTCTTATCAATCAGCTGGGCCTGTGAAAAGGAAACAGGCATACGGAAACTTAATCACTTCTTCTGTGAAAAATCACCATGTCTCTCCAATCAGAGGAAGATCAGATCCTGGGAAGCCTCTGCTCCAGATTTCCACTGTTTCCTGGCTGTTTCATTTTAACCAAAACATTGTTGAGCCAATATATTATTTCATGAGTTTTTTTGGGCAAGGGTGGGTGTTACTGATATGTGGCTGAGGAGTCTGGTGGCAGAGAGCCACATCAGAAAACACACACACACACACACACACACACACACACACACACACACACACACAACCAAAAATGGATGTTGCAAGCAAGCTATTTGCACTCAGGAAGCACAGGAAGATGGACTTTCTTGGCAAACTGCTCAGTCAGATATGCAATTATGGCAATAGGCTAGACTCAAGGTACACATTTTCAGAAACAAACCATGGTATTTTTATTGGTTTGCTGTATTTTACCCATCACTGGGGGCTGGAGCAAAAGCACAGCAGGTAGGGCACTTGCCTTGCACGTGGCCAACACGGCCTACCGGAGTTCGATTCCTCCGCCCCTTTCGGAAAGCCTGGCAAACTACCGAGAGTATCTTGCCCACACGGCAGAGCCTGGCAAGCTACCCTTGATGTATTGGATATGTCAAACACAGTAACAACAAGTCTCACAATGGAGACATTACTGGGCCCACTTGAGCAAATCGATGAACAACGGGAGGACAGTGACAGTGACAGTGACCCATCATTAGAAAAGAATGGCATTGGAGTTGAATATACAGAGAGAAAATTAAAAATGAGCAGGAAGAAGACCATAAAACTACCTAGGCTGGTCTTCGGTGACTCCTGTTATGGATAGTGAGTGTCTGTTTACTGCATTCTACCAGATGATTATTCTCAGGCTAATTCATCTAACAAATTGCCAGTGGGTACATTTTCCACCATCATCATCAACAACAACAAAATGTAGTCTTCAGGAGAGAAGTGTTATCAATGGAATGGAGGTATCAAAAGTATATGTGAACTATCTGACTCCCCTTTTGTCACATGTAATTTGAATCCTTTTCTTTCAAGCTTCACTTAGTTGGATGCTGATCTCATGAAACGTATGGAAATTAATAGAAGAGATCCACCCACTTCTAAATATTCTAGATCAATATTTCTCAAGTTGTTTTTTGATAGGGAGCTTCCTTGCCCTACTGATTGGCTTCCTAGGTCTCATGCCATTCATCAAAACAATTTTCATCTGAGGCCCCTCTGTGGGCATATGGGGTCATCTGGCCCCTGGCTGGTAAATACTGCTCTAGATGATTGCAATGTAGTTTCTTGGGTTGCAACTAGCTCCTGTTGTTCTGGCTTACTTACCACTAAGAAAATATTTAGGGTATAAAATAATCAAATAAATTTTCAAATAAACTACAAGATTTAATCTGGCCACATAGGTAGCTAAATAGATATGCACATACAAACATGCCACACACACACACAGTCTACTAATTGAGGTTTACATTGTATGATACAATGTACTTGTATAAGTGTAGGATATGCTTTTTGGCACCAAACTTTTAGTTTTACAGAGACCAAAGATATATTGAAGAACTCATAGTTCATCTCTTTCTATATCACAGCTAAGAGAAACTGAGCTATTCCATCTGGATCATCAGTGATAATAGGCAGATAAATACCCAGTTTGAAGGTGCTAATTAAAGCCAGTCCAGTGATTCAGCTAGTAAGAGTAGAATACCTTTTTTTTGGAGGGGGAACTAATGATAGAGCAAATACTTTCCTTGTTGGACAGTGTATTGGGACCAGTTTTGGTTCCTGACATGTTCAAAATGTATGCCCACGTGCTGGTTTCAGAGAAAGGGGGCGGTCTTTGGTTATGCCAAATGCAAGACTGAGAGTTTACTCAAGAATAGAAATCTGAGGTGTTAAAGCAATTTCAACCCATTTAATGTCTGGATGCTGACAAATGCAATTTAGAAATGACTTTTCAACTGCCTCCTCTAGCAACAAGAGTTATTATCACATTGATTTTTAATGAATGTTATGGAACTTTCTTGCTTTAATGAGTAGGCAGATACAAATGGTAAATAAAATAATGATTAAAGCAATTAAAAGAGTGAAAGTGAGAAATAAAGTAATAACACTCCTAATGCTTTAGCCAAATCGGCAGATTTTGCTGACTTACTAAAAAAGATTCATTTATCTAGAGGTAAAAATGTTGAGAATATGAAGAAAACTACCCTTTGGTAAGAGGAACAAAGTCCATTAGTGGTGTTATTTGTTTAAAAATCTGTAGGCACCTGGTTCTCATTTGTCCTCTAGCTGAGAAACCAAAGACAACTTCTTTTTATTGCTTGTGGTCAAACAGCTAGTTCATTTCACCATGGGATGATCAAACGGCTAGCCTCCCCCGGCTTGAGGAGTTTTGCCTTTCACTCTTAACTTGTTCAATCATCATTAACTCTGAAAAATGTCACATTCCATTTGTGCAATGAAAATTTCACCACCAGTGACCGTTTGGGGGAAGTTTTTGTAGGTGAGGTCCTAAATCTTGCAAGCACCTCACACATTTTCAAGGTCATTTCCCTTGTTTCCTTGTTTAATGACAGTTGTCTAAGATGCTGGAGTCTCTATGTGGCCTGACATAGATGACTTTGAAGAAACCTCGGTATGGGGGTATGCTTCCTTGGTGAGAGGAAACACAGACACATTATCTGAGATGTGTGCTATGACTGCACACCTCCTCTCTTTTGTCACATATTATGCATAACTAAACACTGTGTTTTTTTTTTTTTATCTATTCACAATACAAGTCATTACCAGGAATGCCTACTAAAGCAGACGCTGGATGCAGCCCACTGAAAACAGGGTCTCTATTCTGGGAAGCCAGCTTCCCTGGAGAAGCTGCAACATCAATTTGGGGAGGCTCCAGAAAGTTTCTGGAAAGGAGAAACCGGCTTCTTTTTAACTTTTGCCACTAGGTTTGAGAAGTCTTCATCTCCTTTCGTAGTTAATTATATTTTTCCCCTCTGCAGAGAACTTCTGAAATGGAAATCCCAATGACTGTGGCATAGGGCCAACCCCCTGATGGGTACTCTAAAATATGAATTTCTGAAAGCCAATGTCAAGCAGCAAGACAGCTAAATTAAGAGGTCGCTTGATCCAGTGTCTTAAAAAAGCACCGTCTATTGGGGCAAGTCAAATAAATTTTGTGCCATTTGGCAAGCAAGTCACAGTTAAAACACAGTGATGAGTCCTGATGAAATTTTCAAGGTCAAAACTAAGAGAAAGCATATACAGACCTCTCCAGAGCCTAAAGGCTGAGGTGCAAACACACTAGTTTGAATCATCTCCAGACAGGGCTTCTTTTTCTAGCTCTAATTTAAGGCCAAACTTTTGCTGGCTAAATTAAGATTATTGCAGTTCTGGTTATGGGCACAGTATCTTTTGCCTTCCAGCTTGCTCTAGCTCATAATATCAGAAAGTTTGCTGTCCCAATATCCAGTTTTTGGAGGTGGACCTCTCCAGCAATGCTTGGGGAATAAGGACACTCCGACAGATACTTGATCCTATGGTGCAGGTCAATGCTAGGGCCTGAGGTATAGTTTTGATCAACATCAGCATATTGGAGGCCACCAGGGTTATATCTAGCAGTGCTTAGGGCTCAATATTTTATTGACTGATAGAACGTGGGAAAAGAGAGCAGGAAAGAATAATTTCATCCCAGTTTTCCCCTCTAATACAATACCAGACTCTGGGTCTAAAGAAGAATCTTGTTGTTCCCAAAGTATGAGTGAAAATGTCCTGCTATCATTTTGTTTTCAGCCCATACCTGGCAGTGCGTTGCTAGGGGTCACTCCTGGTGGTGCTCAGGGGACTAAGGGGAGCAAGGATCAAATTTGGGTCTCCTGCATGCAAAGCATATGCTCTATTCTCTTGTGCCATCTGCCATTTTAAATTAAATTAAAAACTATGTTTGTGTTTTAGGTCATACCCATTGGTGCTCAGGACTTACTCTTGGCTCTGTGCTCAAGGATCACCCCTGGGGGGATGTGGGGGACATATGAGGTGTTAGTGATTTAAACTAGGTTGACTGTGTGCAAGGCAAGCACCCTCCCCACAGCAGACAGGGGAAGACCTTTCCTGCCATTTTAATATTTGTGTTGACAGTACTGACTTTAAGAAAAGAGATCCTAATATGAATAGGTTATTAGCCAAAAAAAACAGCCATGTTTAATTTCCCAGGATTCTTCCCCCCCCACTGAAACCCTTGTACCTAGTACCCAGTATTATTCTAAGTGCTTTATAAACATTAACTCATTTAACTCTTTATAGTAATTCCAAGAGGTTAAAGTAACTTTCCTAAGGTTATAGAGCTGTTTAAACTGAGATAGTCTAAGAATATAGTCTTTAAACAGGATTAATTATTTAATTTTTTCCATGAAGGACTCTCAGAATATACAACCTTCATGCCAATTATCAGCTGCTTCATGATGGGCAGATGATGTTCACAGAGAAAAGTGTTTGATCTGTTTTCTCCATTTCACAAAGATAAAAAATGGTGATCAAATCTATAAAATTCCCTTTTCCCCCATGCTGATTTCCCTACTCTTACCTCCACCTCATGGAGGTCGCCTTTCTACTGATGGTTTTTGAGTAAGTCAGTGAGGGACTTTCGTATGTCTGTCTGTCTGTTTCTCCCTCTCTCTCTCTCTTACACACACACACACACACACACACACACACACACACACACACACACACAGAGTCACTACCGCATTCCAGTGACACTCCACAGGGTTTGGGATACTGGCATAGAAGCAGACATCACTTGCTCATTAGAGCTAAGTTTTCAGGACGTGCCCCAATTACTAACCTCCACTAATGGTCTGGGTTTGCGCTCCACTGCAAACCTATAGTGGCAGAGTTCACAGTAGCTGGTGTTTGAGGATGACAGCCAGTGCTCCAGGCAGCTCCGATGAATTGTCCCCAAGGTCCCAGTACATTCACATGGAGAAAGCAAGTCTTCTTGGCTGCTTCCCTCGTGGCAGATCCTGCACATGGGCCGGTCATTGAAGGGACTGCAAAAGAAGGAGGGATGGCTGTAGGTTACTGGGCTGGAGACTAGGGCCGTGTGCATAGTTCTCTGCTGTGTCCTTTGGATCTTCTCCACCAGGGACAACTGTTCAATAAAAACCTGCTTTAAATTGTTATGTACATTGGTCTTGGCAGTGGGGGTAACTTGCCAGGGTTTTTTTTTTTTCTTTTTATTAGTGAGACATCATGAGGTACAGTTGTAGACTTACAAATTTTTGTGCTTGGGTTTCAATTATACAATGACCAAATACCCATCCCTTCACCAGTGCCCATTTCCCACCACCACAGATCCCATTATCCCTCCCCCCAAACCCCCATCCCACCCTGCCTCTGTGGCAGGGCATTCCCTTTTGTTCTCTCTCTCTTATTGGGCGTATGGTTTGCAAAAGATTGCCAGGGTTTTTGAGCATGAAATTTTGCCGAAATGGAGAAATGGGGGTGTATTAAAGCAGCCACGTATGGCCCAAAGCCAGAGTAAGAAAAAATGAACAAGTTATTTTTGTCTTGAAAAAAGATGTTGCTCAAGCAACTATCAATTAAAATTAAAAAGAAAAAAAAAATCCTCGTGTGGCCCGAGAGATAGTACAGTGAGCAGGGTGTTTGCCTTGTATGTGGCTGACATGGGTTCAATCCCTAGCACCCCATATACAAGGCTCCCCTGAGCCTTGTAAGTAGTGATCCCTGAGCACAGAGACAGAAGCCCTGAGCCTACCAGATATAGCCCAGAACAAAGCAAACAAACAAACAAACAAAATCCTTTGTATAGGGGTGACCCAAAGTCCAAGGGGGAAAAGCGTCTGTGATCTCTTCTTAATAAGCTGTAGAGATAATACAGGGGTTAAAGGAGTTTCCTTATATGTGGCTGATTCTGGTTTGAGCCCCAGCACAACAAACAGTCCCTCAAACATTTCCAGTACTGATCCCTGAGCAAGAAGTAAGCCTTGAGCACTGCCAACATTGGCCCCACCACAAAAAAATAAAGCAAAAAAAAGAAATCCACGTTTGGGTATTGGGTTTGTGGCTAAACAATAACCTTTCAATATCAATATTGAAAACCACAATTTCCCAAAAGGGGGGGGGGGGAGAGAGAGAGAGAGAGAAGAATAGCACCTACCATAGAGGCAGACTGGGGGTAGGGGTGGGGGGTGATGGAAGGGAACCTGGGGACATTGGTGCTGGGAAATGTACACTGATAAAGGGATGGGTGTTGGAACACTGTATGACTGAAATCCTATCATGAATAACTTTGTAATAGTCTATCTCACAATGGGCTGGAGGATAGCACAGCGGGTAGGGCGTTTGCCTTGCAAGCGGCCAACATGGTCGACCCGAGTTCGATTCCCCCGCCCCTCTTGGAGAGCCTGGCAAGCTACCAAGAATATCTCGCTCTCACGGCAAAGCCTTGCAAGCTACCTGTGACGTATTCGATATGCCAAACACAGTAACAAGTCTCAGAATGTTACTGGACCTGCTCGAGCAAATCAATGAACAATGGGAGGACAGTGATACAGTGATCTCACAGTGATTCAATAAAAAATGTTAAAAAATTTTTAAAAAAAGCACATATTTTACATACGAGAGGTCGTGGGATTCCCAGAAACCTCCCTCCACAAATCACTTTACTGGGGCTAAGTTTGTAGCTCAATGGTGCATATCACATGTAACTTGCATGTGTGAGGCCCTGGCTTCCATCCTTGAAATAAAAATCCTATGTCAATAAGAACAGAAATTGTTTTGAAATGATACCAACTGTAGTTCCGAGACACAGCAGGTCCTTTATTCGAACCAGGCCAGGTCATGGATCTATATCCAGAGGGAACTTACTTTCATTGCTTTTTTTTTTTTTTAATAAGGAGGGGAATGAACTGACTGTCAGTGAATCCTGAAGCTGTCCCACAGTACCAGAACACAGAGCAGGGAGGAAGGGTGCACCTTGGGAGTTTTTCTGGGATGATCTCTGCGACACCAAAGATGCTAAAGCAAGTATGAGTGTGTCCTATGAAGGCTGCTTCAATGTAGCACTCCACTTTTGGTTTGGAAAAGTCTCTCCTGCATATTTCATGAGGGACACTGTGTAGGCTGGTGAGGCAGGTTTGGAAGCCCATCTGCCTGGCCTCAAGTACAAGTTTTGTGCCTTCCAGTCACCTAACTTTGGGTAAATATCCTGATGTCTGTACTTTGCTCTCTTCATTTCAGAAATGGACACAGTGAATGGTATCTTCCTCAGCTGGTGACTGTGAAGATGAGAAGAGTCCAGATGAGAAGTTTAGAACAAGGACCAATATGGAGTAAATGTCTTTACTTATGTCTTATGCTGGCAAGTGGGGAAGGATTCTTTCCCCACTTGCCAGCATAAGACCCACATGTTTTCAGGGGCTGGGGAAAAAAAGCTGAAAGAATAGACTTTTTTTCTTGTTATTCTTGGCATCGTCCATTCATATTGGACCATGTGTGAATAAAAACTCCAAATTCTTCTGCTGGTTTGCATTACTTCCTGGTAGAAGGAAATGTGAAAACGCCCCATCCCCCCCACTCCCCGCCCCCAAACACACAAGCTCACAGCTCTCAGTTATTTAAGTTCTGCAGCCTGTTTCTCTTGATGGAATGAGCTGTTTGATAGTTCAAGGATAAGGGATACACATGCAGTCCCTATTCTCAGTTCCGGAGGAGCAATGTGCTCATCACTATATTCCATGTCCTAACCAATTAGGTCATGTTAGAAGCTCTTAGAGAGGTGGAAAAAAAATACTGACTTTCCCCTCATTTCTTTTCTTTTTATGATCTGCACAGGTTGAGAACTGATGGCACATGACAAAGTTTACAACAGGCAGGGGTGTGTCCCTATCTGAAGGCCACCCCATTCAGACTGTGGTGGAGCAGGCAGTCCTGCTGCAGCTGTGTGTTGGAATATATAATGACCCCTGAGGGACTTGTCTGAATTGTAAGTGGTTAAGGTGTCAATGATGGACCCAGTAAATCGTTGTCAGAAATGTCAGTGTTAGGATGGGGAAGTAGTTCTGTACTTGTATATTTGCCTTGTGTGTGTAAGGCGCTGGGTTTGAACCCCAGCTAGAAATAAACTGAATTCCAAAAACTGTGAGTGCCAATGTATGGGGGCAAATTCTATATTGCTACACAGTTTACAGTTAGAGGGTAAAGTCCCACTTGCCTATTCTGAAAGGAAACTGGTGAAGCTAAGAAGCAACTACTGGCTGGGTAGTATGTGGCTCTCAGTCTGCTATTGGGCAACAACAGGAGGCCCCATGCCCCACCAAGGACCAACTGCTGGCCCAGAGAAACCCTCTTTGGATGGTCAGAGCCTCTAGCTTTGCTTTGGTTCATCACTCAAAGAAGACAACTTGTGGGGATTTTAACAATGACACTTCATAGAACAGATGTGAATTAATGATCACCGTAATGCCCAAGGGAAGCAAAGAAAGAACAACAGAAAAGGCCCCGAGTGGGATGTGCTAAAGAAGAGATTCTTCTGGAAGTAGCCCGGACAGGTCCGCCATCTGTGATGCACATTAGCAGGCTCAGCAGTAATGACCCTTCCAAAGTTAGCCTCACAAATCTAATGGCTTTGGCTCGGTCCTCTGAAAGCAGTTCCCTCCTTCATTCTATTCTAACTAGGAGTTTCCTTTGTTAGTGCCCAGAGACAACAAGAATGTAATTACTGTAGCAATGTCAAAATAACACATGTTAAAGCAAGCTACCCTGCTTCTTGTGGAACAGAATTCTTCCTGGACTGGCTCCTTGAAAGTGTGACTTTAAGTGGAAAACTCAAGAACATGAATTATAGTTTTAAAACCCATTGCTATAGAAACAGCGACTACTAAACTTGTGGTCTTTCTTTTACCCAGGACTCCTCTCACCTGACAAAAAAAGACTTGAGCACTAATTATTACCCCTTTAGCATTTTCCCTCTGACAAAGAATCCTTTGGCCCAATTAAAGATTCAGTTCTTGAAACTGGGATTCTACCTCTGGGTGGCAAGAGTCCGCACTACTGTTGACAGCAGCTGCCCGTCCTTGGCTGAAACTTGCATGACATACTGCGGCTGCCCATTCACTAGGCTGCCACAATCCTCCACAGTCTTCACCACAGGCGCAGCCGAGCTGGTGCAGTCTGGCAGCACTTCGGGCAGGTGACTGCAGCGGCTGGTTGTCATGGTAACAGACAGCAATTACTCCGCTAATGGCTTCCACATTCATACAGGATTTCCATCTAAGAGAGATCAAAAAACAGTTTACTTGGACTAGGTGGTTAACAGACAAGGGAGAATTATAGGCCACCAACATCATCATGTCATTATTTAATATAAATAACAGGGGTAGTCTAAGCGTGCCACATTATCTTGCCACCGCTTAGCACGCCTGTAAGAGTGTGGGCACACATGCATGCGCATGCGTGCGCGCGCACACACACACACACACACACACACAAAATAGTGGATGCAGTTCTAAACAAGACAGCTAGCATGTCAGGGTACATAACATTAAGGAACCTTGCTCTCTAAGAAGGGCGGGAATGATGGCTCTGAAGCCGGATCTGACGACAAGATAAGCAATTCTCCCGCTCAGGCCTGGAGAAGCAATAAGTCTTTGTTGACACTCTCTGAAACTTACTAGATTCATTATTAAAACTGTTCCCAACTACTCTTTCTTGTAAGCAATCTATTCTCCATGCAGCTTCATTTGGAGATACTAAGATTAAAAAAAGAGAAAGGAAAAACAAAAATGATTTTGACCCAGCAGTCCCTTCCAGAACACAATTTGCCAAATATGAATCATTCAATTCATGTATTACCTTTCTGACTTTTGCTATATCTGTGTCCTCTAATACAATTATCTACTTAATATATCTTGAAAATAAACTTCCTTTCAAAGTTAACCTGTTTTAGCCTTGCCTTAAGCAAAGTTATTCATGAAGCAATGAGCTTGCTTAGCCTGTTGTAGTTTTTTCCTAATAGGCATTATAATAAAGACCTTAGCACTAAGTTTTTGACTGTTTGAGTACCATCTACAGTCCAGGGGCCCTGATAATTACAGAGAAATATACAGGACAATGCAAGACACGATGAATGAGATCTCCATCACCCATTAAAAGGAATCCATTTTTAACAAGGGACTTACCTCCCTGACATAGTCTATCATACAGACTTCAAGGAATTCAGATCCCAGTCCCTATGGGATCAAAATGTTCAAAATGTTCATATCCAATGGAGTGAGGAAATAATAGTCTGCATGTGATATGAAAAAAATAGAGGCCATTGGAGAAACTAATAGGAGGAATGATTTATGTGTAAAGGTGAGATGACAGTTTCATGGGCCACATGGGCCATTTCTGCCCAGTGTGAGTTCCTGAGCTCCACACCGTCTGGGCTCATCGGGCAACAGGATCAGTTGACAGCTGAGTTCATGTCAATAACCAGTCTGGGTGGTCAAGGCCACAAGTCTAAACAACCCCCTCTTCCAATCCCCAGAGGATTTTTTGAATTCCTCAAACGGTTGCTTTTTCCCTAGATATATGTGACTCTACTTTGTACTTTTCCTTTGACTCTTTAAGGCCTGGAATTCAGGAACTTCCCAGCTTCTAGAACAATGTGCATCAAGTGGGTGTTTTGGGGAGGAAATGTTCCCAGATGAGTTGGACCTAACTCTTTTCCTGCTCACAGTACATGGCAAGCCAGTCTGATTGTAGGGGACAACTGGATATGGACAGGATCCTCTCCTGTGTTGAGGTGTCTGGCTTGTCACGTTCCACATGTTCCCTTTATTGTCCTTCTTGGTTGTCACCAGTCCTCTCAGGGTTCATGGTCACCTGGCCTCTTCCTGGAGCCCTTAAGTACCAAGGAATGTAGACGGGACTACAGGGGTAGCTCAAGTCTGAGACCTGATGGGAGGCAGAGGCCCGTCTGTTCCTTTTATGTCATGATTAGGACTTTGGCGACAATAGATGCTGAGAATTCATGAGCACAGAAAGCTGACAGAATTTTGCTTATTAAGAAGTTTTCTGTTCTTTTTTTCACATTCAGTGGTATTTAGGAGTTAGTCCTGGCTCTGCACTCAGGAATCACACCTAATCGGCTCTGGAGGCCACGTGCAAGGCAAGTGCTCTACCTTTGTACTATCTTTTAAGTCCCATCTCTTATATTTTACAATGCAAGAAGTATACTTGCTATAAAAAGTTTGACAAGCACAAAGAAAACAATAAACTCACTCATAATTCCACCACTCAGATAACCACCATACACTGTACTGGATATCTTTTAAATTTTTTTTTGCAGAGTTATCAGGGGAGCTGATTTGTAGCTGAGGCCAGAGAGATCTATTTTATTTTTATTTTTAATTAAAAAAAACTGAGTTATAGTGGCTTTCAGACCACAGAACAAAGGATCTTCAAAGACTGTCTTCTAAAAAAATGTGCCTAATCCCTCTCTCCTGGCCTGCCCTCATAAAACCTCATTGACATGATTTTAAATTCTCACAGTCACAAAATGTAACTTCCTGGCACAGTTCTTTTGCTTCACAAGGCAACCATAGATTAAGAGCCAGGGGTGTGTTGGCAGCAAAAGCAGACACAGTGACCTTCTTGCTGCATGGAATCATTATGTCTGCTTGCACTCTAAGAGTCTATTTTTGGGTTTTGCATAACTCCAACTCAGAAGGCCAAATACTCCCTCCCTATACTTGATGGAACTGGAAGGAGGTAGGGAAGATGCACAGAGTGTGAAAATGAGATTGGGACTAGTTAGTCTACCTTCAGTGAAGGAAAACATCATTCAGGCACCTAATGTCCTCAAGTTCATTCACTTATAACCTAGATTAATCCGTCATCAAAGTCAGTGGTTTGAAATATGACATAAATCTGCAATTAAAAAATAAGGTTTAGGGTGGGATGGGGGTATGGGGGGTGGGAGGGATACTGGGATTCGTGGTGGTGGGAAATGGGCACCGGTGGAGGGATGGGTATTTGATCATTGTATAACTGAAACCCAAACACAAAAATTTGTATGTCTGCAACTGTACCTCATGATGTCTCACTAATAAAAAAAATAAAAAAATAAGGTTTATTATTTTTTCTATTCCTGTAATTTCACTTTTTGATGATATATAATATATAGCTAACTCTTGAGCAACATGGATTTGATTTATGTGGGTATACTTCCATCTGGATCTGGATCTTTTTCCTTGTGTGTGGATTCATTGCTTCAACTGGCAGTGAGGTGTGTGTGTGTGTGTGTGTGTGTGTGTGTGTGTGTGTGTTGGTGGTGGTGTGGAGGGGAAGTGGGTGACTTTCTCCCCACCTTGTTTAAGGGGAAACTATATTTTTTGTCTCAAGGGTAAAATGCTATCAGCCATCTGATAACATCATTCTATTCTTGATGGATGTTAGGCACCAAGCTGGGGCTAAGGGGAAAAAAGATACTTCTGCCTGGCCTTTTTCTGCACACAAGCCCTGGCTCTATCACTTGTGCTACCTTACAGAAGCTTACATCCAACTTCTGACTTGACTGACATACTAGTCTAGTCCAGCACTCACAAAACAGTGCTCCAGCATAGCTAGTAAACACCCATACCATACCAGGACATTGCAATGTGAATGTCCTTCTATGCAGGTTTAGGAAGGACATTGACCCTCTTAATAGAGCACAATGCAAACTGAAAAACTGGGTGGGAGGAAATATACCCCTTTTAACAAGGTGATGAAGGTTGAATTGTCTCCAGCCTCAGAGGGCTGAATCACTGACTCAAGTGGAGAAAGAGAGAAAACACATTTACCCAATTCTACATCCAAAGGAAGCCCACGAGCCTCTCTGCAGGCAGAGACAGGAGCGGCCTTCAGGCTGCAGGCACCAATTGGCAAGCACATGTGGCACCTGGGGCAGTGACAAATGGCCCACTGTATTTTCCTGTCTCATTCAGAGCCACCTGGGAAAACAGCAGGCTGCAGCAGGGGATGCTAGAAAGAGCTGAGCTGTCGGTTTTTCAGTCTAGCACATGGATCTTTCTGCAAAAATTCGAGCACCATTCAACTGTGTTCTTATCCATACCACTGCCTCTTCATCCTTCAAGGATTCTGTTGACTTCTCAGGATAATGACACAACACTGGGAAAGAGTGGCATCAGTGTAAAGGAGACATTTCCCAATGGTGCTGGGAGGATGGATGGATACTTTATAGGTTAGGCTTGACACCTTGTATAGTTTCTTTCTCAGGGGAACAAAACATGATCTGGACAAATTCAGCTGTGCACTGTGGGAAAGTGAGAATAGGTGGATAAGAGGGAGAGAATCAAAAAGGATGCAGGGTCTGAACAGAAGTCAGAGCAGATGATTGTTAAAGTAAAAAGGCCAGTCTGTTAAATTGTGTCTACTAAAGGCTTGAACACTGGTTTTATGAAATCAAACACCCAACCAGGCTGCCATGATAATATGATGTGTGTCTGAACACACATAATTGGTAAATGAGTTCCAAAGGAACATATCTGGCATCATGAGGATGTATCCAGTGGATGTGGGGAAAGTTGGGACCCAAACTGCTGACCTTGCAGTCCTCTTGCCACAGCAGTCCTCACAACCTCCATGAAGATCATGGAGTTACAGGGAGTAAGCTCTGTCTCTAGAGACAGGACACCCAAATCTATGTTCTCCCCTCAATACCAACAACTCACCAGAGTAAATGACTTAGCCTCCCAGACTTTGCTGAGATTTCCTGACTAATTAATATTTGGATACTAGCTAGTATTTCCTGAGCCGAACTTACTTGGTTATTAGTAAGGTCTAATGTAAGACTGGGCTGGAGCGATAGCAAAGTGGGTAAGGCTTTGCCTTGCAAGTGGCCAACATGGCTGACCCGAGTTCAATTCTTCCGCCCCTCTTGGAAAGCCCAGCAAGCTACCGAGAGTATCTCACCTGCATGGAAAAGCATGGCAAGCTACCCGTGACGTATTCAATATGCCAAACACAGTTAATAATTGTCACAATGGAGACGTTACTGGGCCCGCTCGAGCAAATCGATGAACAACGGGAGGCCAGTGACAGTGACAATGTAAGACTATACCCAATTGTGCTTTGCCAATGGGAAAGAGCATAAACAGAGCAAGTCACATTTTCTCACTACATTAAACTTTTAAAAAAATTTTTATTAGTGAAACACCATGAGGTACAGTTGTAGACTTACAAATTTTTGTGTTTGGGTTTCAGTTAGACAATGATCAAACTAC